CTGCACACTACTGCACACTACTGCCCCTGCTGTACACTACTGCACACTACTGCCCCTGCAGCATCTGAAATACACACCTAAACTGATCAAGTTACCTTTATTTACATTCTAACAAATTTAAAGGCAAGTGTCGGCCGAAGTTCTGTAAGAAGTAAGTAAGTAAGAAGCAGCAAATAGCAATGAAACAACTTCCTTGAAATAAAATCAATTAATAAATAAAAGAATAAAAATACAAAACCACAGATGAAAAAGACAGGACAGAAAAGGCAAGCTACAGCCAGAAGTAATTTGTCTACCGTAATGCGACATGAATCATCTGTAGTATTTTGGCTGTAATTGCATTTTGATTAGATATTTTACTAAAACCTATTATTTTAGGTGAAGGTGTATAGGATAGGACTATTAGAAAGTCTGGATCACACTGTAAAATACTTTATTACTTAATCTGTGTAATACAGTTATCTAATCTGTAGCCTGCATTTTCTCCCTAACAATGAAACACACACACACACACACACACACAAAGCAAATGTCAGTTAAATGTGTTTTTTTTTTATTATTATTATTTTTTTGCGCCAATGTTGTAATGACAAATGTTCGATTAGAAAAAAAAATTCTGAGGTGAGGTGGGGAAAAAAATACAAACCTCTTGTTTTTGGTCTTTCACACTTTCAAACAATTTTTCATTTATTTACTTTAAATCACATGTTTTACTCTTATGCATATGAAACATTAGACAATTTACAACATTTATTAGATTTCTAAAAAAAATATCTTCGACAAAATCATATCCCATAATTCAACCGCAGATGGAAAGGTCGTTTTTGGTGCAAGAATAAATGAGACAACAGCTCCACCTTGTGGAGATTTATGATAAAGCATTTATAGCAATCCACAAAGCATGATTCATTTGTCTCTATGCATATCCAACTAAAACCTTTTGGTTCCCAGAACAAAGCTTGAAGGTATGTTTTTGGTGTTAAATTTGTTATTTACGTAAATAAAGGTTCAGTTCACGTGTGTATTTCAGATGCTGCAGCTCAGCAGTGTGTGCAGCAGGGGCAGTGGTGTGTGGTGTGTAGTAGGGGCAGCAGGAACAGCAGAGTGTGGTAGTTGTGGCTGAGTGGTTAAGGTGCTGGACTAGAAATCCATTGGGATCTTCTTGTGCAGGTTCAAATCCTTCTGACTACGGCCCAGTTTCTGTTTCTCAGCATGGCTGGATCAAGACTTCATAGGGTCCTGGGGCTATAAAAATACCAAGGACCCCCCTCACCTTGGGACCCTAAGTAATTCAAAACACTAATCTCAAGCACACAGGTAGATGTAGCCTACTATAAAAAATATATACAAAGCCCCTATTCTAATGTGAGTTTGCCTCTCTGTGCTTGTTATGTTGTGAGGTGCTCTTGTCAAACTCAATGTCAGTGCACACAAAAGCTAATCTTGAAAATAGCTATATATAAAAAAAAAAAAACAAGCTACAGACAACAATGTTCTGGCAGTGAGTTGTCTTTTCATCTGTTGTTTTTGTTTTATTTATTAATAGATTTAAAAGAAAAAAAAACATATCCTGTGTATGCATGCCTGAGATTTAGCCCTTTGAATTACAGAGGGTACCAAGAGTAGGGGGTCTTTGGTATGGTTAACATAGCCCCAGGCCCCTGTGAGGTCTTAACCTGGCCATGCTAAGAGGAAAGAGCGCCGTAGTCGGCAGGACTCGAACCTGCGCGGGGAGACCCCAATGGATTTCTAGTCCATCGCCTTAACCACTCGGCCACGACTACTACATACTATGGCAGTGGAAGAAACAAACAGCAATGAAATAAATAAACCCAATTAATACATAAAACAATAACAATACGAAACCACAGATGAAAAGACCGGACAAAACAAAAGGCAAGCTACTGCCAGAAGTAATTTGCAGTCTAGCCTAAGGCTACATGATTGGACTGTAGTACTTTGGTTAAATGTTTTACTATAACCTATTATTTTATTACATTTAAACCACCTATTTACAATTCAGTTGAAGGTGTATAGTCTAGGACTATTAGAAAGTCTGGATTATACTGTAAAATACCTTACCTCACAACATAAAGAGCACTGAGAGGCAGACCCAGATTATAAATTGGGGCTAGGCACCTATAGTTTTTTTTTTTTTTTTTATAATACACCAACTTCTGCCTGAAATTTAGTGTTTCATTGATTCAGGGAGCACTTGGTGTTAACATAGACCAAAAGGCCTATGTAAGGCATACACTCAAGTGCCAGCATCTGAAAATACACACATGAACTGATCAAAGTAACTACTTGCATATAAAACAATTTTAACGGCAAGTGTCTGCCAAAGTGCTTTCCAATAAAATCAAAAGCAGCAACAGCAATGAAATAAAATCAATTAATAAACAAAACAATAAAACTACAAAACCACAGATGAAAGTCAGGACAAAACAAAAGGCAAGCTACTGCCAGAAGTAATTTGCAGCCTACCATTCAATGTCAGTCTGTTATTGGTGGAAAACCATTTCATTGTGCACCCATTCTAACAGGAATCTGCTCAATTCACTCTCAAAATCAAAAAATTACAAATACAGTGTCAGGCTCTTATGTTGTGAAAACAAATGTGTTCAAGCTTATTTTAAAAATCAGTATATAAAAATCAAGCTACAGACAATTTCCTTGTATTTTTGATAAACAGACTAAACGTAATACAATACCAACAAGTGTTAGCCTATTTGAAGAAAGACCTGAGAGAGCCAGAAAGTATGTGTGTGTGCGCGTGTGTGTGTGTATTTTGGAAAGTATTTATATACGTGCCATCATAAGTTGTGCTCTCTATTCCATTCCAAGTACTCCCCATCCCACTAACTTTAACAAGAAGTTATTGATTTGCCTGATGTTTACTCTGATATTTGCAGACATGACTAAGACTGGAAATCCCAACGCTTACTGGTCAGATTTCCTGCACAAGTATGCAAAGGGGAATTACCGGTTTACTACAGACAAGAAGCCAGGTGTCAAAAAGTGGAAGGATGCATTACAATGTGTTGGTAACTGTCCATTACACAACCATTCGACATCTTTGGGAATAGAATCCCTTGCAAATGTGGTTATCATAAGGTATGTAATGATTTACTTATACATCACATTGGACCTGCCCTGGAGAATGTTGCTATAATTCATTTTGCTACAGTTCTGTCAATATTTGAAATCTAATAACAGGAAAATGCTCATCATTTGTACTTGAATTGTGTCAATTTATAATGCATGTATGAATGAATAATGTGGTTGACACTTAACTGGCAGTGTTTTAAGACCTCAAGAAAAGACTTAGCAGACAGGGTTAAGTTCAGGGAGTCAGCCTAAGAACCACAGAGTCAAAAGGAACAAGTCCCACAGGCCAGTACAGGAGTTAGCATAAGACCCCACCCCTGCTGACCAGTAGAGGGACTCTGCCTAGTGAGTCTGGTACATTAGAGTGCTCTCTATGTGGCAAGGAAGTTAATGCGGAGTGTTTCACGGAACACCCGTCAGAATACCGTGTCCAAAATTGTTGTGACCAGTGTGGCACGGAAGTCTGGGGTGCAGTTGGACTGCTTCAACACATCTTTTGAGAATGATCATCTTTTGACTAGTCTCGCAAACCCACACAGAAAAACTGTGGATCCACCTACAGATCATCCCACGTCGTCACTGGTGATTCATCCTGCAGTGGGCACACAAAATCCCGGTTACACACAAGAGTGGCAAGGAGGTACACACACACACACACACACACACACACTAATATGAATTCTTCAGAACTGAATTGGGTGAGTTTTCTTAAGCAGCTCTGTAGAGTTTTTAAATTATTAATTATTAAGTTATTAATAGATTTAAAAGGAAAAAACAAACAAACAAAAAAAAAACATATCCTGTGTATGCATGCCTGAGATTTAGCCCTTTGAATTACAGAGGGTACCAAGAGTAGGGGGTCTTTGGTATGGTTAACATAGCCCCAGGCCCCTGTGAGGTCTTAACCTGGCCATGCTAAGAGGAAAGAGCGCCGTAGTCGGCAGGACTCGAACCTGCGCGGGGAGACCCCAATGGATTTCTAGTCCATCGCCTTAACCACTCGGCCACGACTACTACATACTATAGCATAGGAAGAAACAAACAGCCAACCTCTGCCTGAAATTTAGTGTTTCATTGACACCACATTAATATGAATTCTTCAGAACTGAATTGGGTGAGCTTTCTTAAGCAGCCCTCTAGAGTTATTAAACAATAGCAGACTGGAAGTGGATTGCACAATGTCTTTATGACAGCAAGGGACAGCTGAGGCAACAATTCTCACAGAACTGGTGTCCTCCACCAAGACCTTGCAAACCCACATCATCTGATCCACACAGTTACTTAAGACAGCTCATGTTTCTGTGGGCACCAATGCCAATGTGGGGCATTCCTCTGAAATGCACACAATGTGAAGATACACCACGCAGGAATTGACACAAAAGTGAGGGAAGTCACTACTATCGACTCAAGATATTACCTAGTTGGAGGGGTCTATCCCTGTTGCAGTAAGTGTATGTTTCCCATCTGCCCTTGCAGTGTTGAGATTCTCAATCAACTCGATCCTTCCCATAGAAACAAATTCCCAGCTGTTCTCACCACCCAGCTCCGGACAGAAAAATGTGTGACTTTATTGAAGCCAAGAACTATAGGGAACAGCTCAAGTTACTGGTAGCAAGCAATGAAGAAATTCATACTGAGGAGTGGGCAAGACGGACCACAGACTACCTGTTGGATTATGAGCTTCACAAGGCTAGTGCTATTACAAAGTCAGGATCACACTGTAAAATACTTTATTACTTGATCAGTTTAATACATTTATGTAATCTGTAGCCTGCATATACTGTATATAAAAGACTAAATCACATCCTGTAATTCAACAGCAAAGGAAAGCTGGTTCGTTAATGCAAGAATAAATAAAAGGCAACACCACCACCTTGTGGAGATTTATGATATAGCATTTATAGTAATCCACAAAGTACAATTCTTTCAACTTTGTCACTAAGTACAAACAACAGATTAAGTATCGTCCTCTCTACTAGACTATAGGTGGTATAATGAGTTACATTATACACCGAAAGCAACACCTTTTCAAAAAGTAAACACTAAACATTCAATTTTAAACTTTTATTCAAATAGGTTAACACTTGTTGACATTGTATCATATATAGTCAGTTTAACAAAAATTGATAGCTGGTTTTTATAGTTTAACTTGGTAAGCATGAGAACACATTTGTTTTCACAACATAAAAAGATCCTCACACTTGTAATTTGTCGATTTTGAGAGCATTTTGAGTGCACTTTGCAGTGACTTGGGCAGATTCCTGTTAAAATGGGTGCACAAAGAGCTCATTTCACAACATAACTGGTACTGAAAGGACAGACAAAACCTCTCATAGTCAGCAGGACTCAAACCTGCATGAGGAAACCCCAAAGGATTGCTAGTCCCTCACCTTAAGCACTCAGCCACAACTACAACACGCAGCCAGGCCTTCTGCACACACACAGACACACACACACACAGACAGACACACACACACACCTCCTGACCCTCCACTTTCTTTCTTCTTTTCTTTTCAGTTTCTTTTCAAATTTTTAAAAAAATCTTATTTTCCTTCTTCTTTTTATTCCCCTTTTCCTTTTACTCTTACCTTGGGCAAGCCCTGACATACCATACCGGTCACCCCTCTACAAAGGTGCAACAAAGAGCTGCGTCAAAGGCTAGCTTTAAGTATCCTGCCTGGCAGGTGCAGGCAATCCAGGTTGATCAGCCTGGAGAATTCTGGGCAGCTGAGTTCTCACGGATGGCTGCTCTCACTGTGCCCCACTGTTGCCCTCTGCTGGCAGTGTAGCATGGCCTCTTACATTTGCAGATTGCAGCATGACAAGCTGCAATTTTTCTTTGAGACAGAAAAACAGAGGCTGCTGACGAAACCAATGTTTATAGCTATTGTAACGTAAGTGATAACAGGAACTCACTTGTTTTGTTGACATTCCACAACATAAAACGTAACTATAAGTGGATAAAAACTGACATGTCTTTTATTACTAAATAAAAAAATTGTAATCATTGAAACATTGCTGTGATTTAGGAGGAATAAAACACTTGAGAGTGATAAGAGTAACTGCTTTGTGCTGGGTCTCATCACACCACACTGTTGTTGATTATCTTCCTATAACAGCACACCCCACTGAGTGTTTTATTATTAGAGTTTTTAGTAGTGTTTTATTCCTTATCTAATGTAATACACAAAATTAGCCGGTCAAGTGAGAGTAGAGGAGACAGCATGAGATAGCAAGTGAAGACATGCAGCTTTTAGAGGTTTATGTGATAATAAAGAGATATTTGAAGAGGCCTAGTGACCCTGACCCACTGGCTCTTCCCCCCTCGCCAATCAAACAGAGATGGTTGTCTCTTATACTTCCAAGGTGCACTCAAGCACACATTAACCTGGCCTGACACACACACAAACACACACACCCTATAAGGTTTGTTGACATCCTCACTCTCTAGAATCAGCGAAAGCCTAATTGCCCCTGGATTCCAGCACTTAGGTTTTGAAACCTTTCGAGTGCGACCCGGGGCACCATGAGGGCATCATTGATTATGACAGCACTGCTATGCTAAATGCTTTGACCCACCACAGAGGTCAGCTGGCTATCACATGCTTATCACACACTTTGCACCTGACTGGACAAGGAAGCCAGGCGGAGTGTGTATATTTCTAAAATCAATTTCAAACCTAAACACTTAAAATGAAAGGATTTGATTGAGGTTTTGACTTTGGACCTTTGGTCAGAGAATTTACATTGTGTGTATAAGGTGGTTTATTTGCATGTGCATTTGCTGAACGTATGTATGAACCTGAGCATGTGTGTGTGTGTGTGAACATGTCACTGACTATTGCTCCACACCTCATTTAAAGAGAGAGAAAGGAGTGTAATACCTGTGAGAGTAATGACTCAGATAAGGTCTAACAACTAAAAGACTAATTTAGCAAATTTAATTAGATGGGGTCATATATGACTCTTGCCCATTTGCCCCACTTGTCAGATTCTGTAGTGACTCTGCCAGACATGATCCTTGATGTGTGTAGTTACAGGTTAACACAGAAGTACATATAGTCTTCTGTAACTAACTGTTTTATATATACCTTAAAAATCCCTAGTTTTCAATGTGGGGTCAATGGTTTTCCAATGGGTCTGTCACTAGGCATGTGGTCTGCAATTATTATTATTATTATTATTATTATTATTATTATTATTATTATTATTATTATTATCATTACTATTACTACTACTACTACATACTATCAAGGATGTTTTAGTTGTTACAGTTATTATTTTGTTATTATAGCTACAAGCCAAACCGACTGTTCCCCAGATTTTAACGGGTTAAGCCATTTTTTTGAAAATAGGGAGTTCATCTTTTTTTAATTTTTAATTTTTTTTAAGGTTACTTTGTGCTACATATTTTGTAATGCAACTTTGGGTGTTAGAAAGGTGCTACATGGTTGCTTAGGTCCCCCAAGGTTAGAAATGACCACTAATTAATAGGATTTAGTTAATCCTAAAGTTAAGGATTTAGGTAACTTTAAGTGTTAAGCTAGCAAGTTAAGCCATGACAACAGTAGTCTGTTTACTTTATTTTATTTATTAATATAATTTACATGTTTAGAGATTTAATTCCTTTTATTAAACTCATCCAAGATAATGAAGTATTCATTCTGTTCGTTCTTGCACGTAAAATAATGGTTGGTGAGGGCTGGGAAGTTGTCGCTTAGGTCTAAGAGTGGTCAGAAACAGCCTTAAATAAAGTTAAATGACTTATAAACACATATTCAGCCACAGAACCCAAATTCAACAACATTACAGTGCTATAAAGTCAACGCTGTGCATCGTATGAACAGCATCTTTCCTAGTTTTATTAAAATTACAGATTCATTTTGTAATCTAAAGCTAAAATACATAAAGACACATATGAATGATGTCAAATTGAAGTCTTCATTTTAATAAAACAAGCAAAAGTGCAGTTCGGATGTTTAGAATCTACTTATTTAACAGTACCGTTTTTAGTTTTGGGTTTGCGTGGAGTTTGCCTGTGTGCGTGGAGCTTGCATGTTCTCCCCGTGCTTCAGGGGTTTCCTCTGGGTACTCCGGTTTCCTCCCCCAGTCCAAAGACATGCGCTGTAGGCTGACCGGCATTTCCAAATTGTCTGTAGCGTATGAGTGTGTGTGCAATTAAGTCCCTGTCCTGGGGTGTCCCCCACCTTGTGCTCCGAGTTCCCTGGGATAAGCTCCAGGCTTCCTCGCAACCCTCTGTATGATAAGCGGTACGGAAAATAGATGAAGGGATAAATACACATTTGCCTAATGTGTATACTATTTTAATACTTAGATTATGTTTAAACAATAAACCTCTGCTGCAGTCATAAGTGAAAAGGGTCCTGTGTTTGCAAAAAATCCGTGGATACAAAAGAGTGGAAAAATATACGAGACAAAAGAGGCTAAAAACAAAACAGCCTGCTTCACCTTTTACGAGAAAGTGAATAATACTGGTTATTTGGTACAATACCATGCCAAGACTAATAATAGAATATTTGTGCAGTGACATGTCAACGCTGATAGGCAAGAAATTGATTTTCAATGTTGCGAAGGTGTAACTGCTGTGTTTGCAGTGTGGGTGGGGGGTTATTCGGACCGGGTTTTCAGAACTACTGCTTTCAAGCTCGACTGATAACATGAGTCAGGGTGTTTTTCGATTTCCTTTTTGTACAACATTTTTGTTCATATGTGGACAGTCTCAAGTAGTCTCAACAATGATGCCATCTTTCCACGGGCTAAAAACAGCTGTATATAGGCTTTTATAGTGGTCTTTCATGTTGGTACATTTACATACAACAGATTTATGGAACATTTGATTTTACTCATAAAATATTTCAGTAGTTAATACTTCATTACCAGTTATTAGGGGGCCAAGCACTGAAGATGAGTAGGCACATGTGTAATTGTAGTTGTTTTTAAAATATTATTATTATTATTATTATTATTATTATTATTATTATTATTATTATAATACTTTGACCGACCTGAATAAAACTTGCTTCTCATTTTTGATATCCAGAACAGTTTGTCTTTAACATGCAATTTGAGAGCAAAGCCGCCAAATAGGAAGTGAGGGCATATCTCGGTAACAGCGTGACATACTGTTCTTTATGATGATTCACTGGTAGGTGTTCTTGATGTAAAAACGGGAAATCCACCATTTTAACAACACCTGTTTTTTCCCTCCTAAACCATGTAATCTTTGTGAAATTTGAAACATTGGATTGTCTGACCATGCTGAAAAAAAAAAAAGTATTTCTTGGATTTTTGATATTCAACACTGTTCGTCCATAATGCGCAAACAAATACGATTGCAAATTCAACAAACAGAAAGTGAGACCATATCTCAGCACCGAGGGTCCCAATGTCTTCTGGTCTTCTACCATCACTAAGGGGTGGGGCTAGAAAAGTGCTTGGTCCCTTACTCGCTGCTCGCAGCTATATTTATTATTAACATTATTGCTGAACTTATTATTGGCTTAATATGAGTGTATGACTTTAAAGAATGCCTTGGAAAACCATACACACTTTAAACCCCTCATTTCTGATTTAATAATATTGGTTTAGACAGCCTTTATGCCGCAGGACTGTTGAATTCTCAAGATCGACTGATTAGAAGGTGCTGATTAATTTTCTATAAGAGCAGCTCTGACAGTAATTGATTAGCAAAATGGTGTTGCTGAGCTAGAACTACAAGGCTAATATAGCTAACAAGCAAATGTTTGGCTAGTAGTTTAGCATTGTGCAAAATGCTAGACATGCATGCCAAACCATGCAGTATTTGTTAGTATTTCAGACCTGTTTATGTGACACTGTATAAGATGCTGTTATCGATAAAAATGGATGTATAGCAATGCAGAACAAAAAAACAGACATAGCTGCCATCGTGAATTCAAATCACTTCCTGTATCAGTTCATATTGTGGCATCAGACTCTGATAGGGAGTGCGGGCTAAAGTTTGAAAACAGAATTGTATATTAGAACTGATTTGGATGATAATTAACGGATATTCTGTTTTTTTTAACAAAATAGATGGCTGTGCAGTGTGTTTGTTTAGCATATCAAGTCTCATTGTTGCAGTCTCATTGTCCCTGTCTCTGTCTGATCTCTGATCTCTGGTTGACCTCCAGGTGGAAGGTCACAGGGCATGTCCACATCGTCGCTTCATTTTCATCCTTCATAGCTGATGAATTTTTCTCCCAGTCTTCCACTCTCTCCCTCTCTCTCTGTCCCTCAGCCTGCCGTACTGCGTCCTTCATCGCGTCTCTTTCTCTTTCACCCCCCCCCCCCCCCCCCCCCCCCCCCCCCCCCCCCCCCCCCCCCCCCCCCCCCCCTTTCTCTGTCATCACTAAGACCTCAGTGTCTCCCTGT